TAGCCACTGGGTCATCTGTCCTCCCTGCACTGCATGCACTGCTCCCTGTGTCATTTTTGGACTGCCAGTCGGTGCCAGACAATGGGCTATGAGCCTCAGGGACATGCCCACACACCTCTTGGCGATAGCATTAGTATTAATTATTATTTGTATGACAGTAGCCCTTAGAGAGGGTGCCATTGCGCTAGGAGCTGGACAGACACACAACAAATCAATGATCCCTGCAAAGTAGGGGTGGATAGTTTCCCTGCCAGGAACAGGCCTCCCTCATTGATTCCGCAGGAGGGAAGGATTCCTGGTGTCCCGTTTCCCCCTGGCACAGCAGTGCAGAGGCAGGGAGAGTCAGAATTCATACAGAGCAGTGTTGTGCCACCCTGCCATCTGAGTGACTCTCCAGGGACAGCACTTCACGAGCCATCTCCCATATCGGAGGGGAGGAAGGCAAAAGTGCTGCCAGAAAGTTATCTCAAATGTTCTCGTTAGCTGGGAGAGAACAGGAGGTTGAAACAAACTTGCCAAGTGGTTCCGAAAATGAAGGGCGAACGGGGAAGTAACAGATCCTTGGGCATGCTGCAACACTGGCATTGATTCACAAGAGAAGCAGCATGGCGGACCCCCTCGGCCCAGTGCCTGTGTGATGCAGGTGGAATACACCGTTAAAAGGTGCAATGCTGTGGAGCAAGTTGGTAACTGGACAGTGGGTGAACATGCTGGGGAGAGAGAGCACAGGGCTGGGTGTGGCAGGGTGCTGCTGGAGAAGCCCTTAATCAGCTCCTGCCACTCCAGACCCAATCAGGGAGAATGGATTGGGGCTGCGTGAACCGCTCTATGTTTGCCTGATAACTGACCACCCCGCCAGCCTCATTTAGGCGCTATAAGGCTGGAAGGAAGGAAGAGGAAGGGGAGGGGGGACTGGACTGGACTGGACTGGATTAAGAGCAGGCGGTCAGGCTCAGAGGGCATAGGAGCCTCCTAGCCTGTTGCTGGCCAGGCCTGTGGTAGGCCAAACAGCCTGTAATATAGTTGGAAACTGGTGGTGGGAAACTGGTCACAAATAAAGAACACTGGTGTTGCACCAGACTGAAGTTCACGGGGGAGGGGGGCCAAATCCAGAGGGGCACAGTGGGTTCCCTGTTACAGGGCGCTGTGCTGGGGAAGGAACAGCGTGAATGCTACATTCTCCTAACTGGAACACAGGCTTCAGGAGTCAGTGCAACATCAGGGCATGGGTCTAATGCCTGTTGATCTGAGGAGTCCAAGCTGAGACACCCAGATATTCAGGGTAAGCATTTTGCCTTAAGGCACAGCCAATTTGTATCTGACAACTAAATGGCTTTGATTCAGTCATTACATAACAGGAACACTGCAGCAATGAGATCCTGCCCCGAGCTGCCGCTTGCCACAGATTTGTCCTGCTCCTGGCTGTCCAGAGCCTTCCAAACCTTGGGGGACTGAAGCCTCCCCCAATATCCTTACCCAGCCATGGCAGCTGTGCCACTCAGCGGGCGGCCAGCATTGTCCGCATTGAGACACCCCAAATCAATATTCCATTGGTCCATAAACTCCAGAGTCCTCCTGCTGAAGTTGCAGAGCCTGGGCTGTGTAAAAATGCCCCATAATGTACCCAGGGAATTGTGCAATGTTATACATGTGCGAGGGGCCTGCTTTCCTCCCTGACTGCTTTGGCCATCAGCTGAAGCCTAAAAGCATAAGATATGGGAACGTATCTTCTGAAACATTCAGACATGTTTGTGCTGCTCTTCTGGTACAAAACGGGTCTCAAGCCAGCTGATTCCCCATAGGAGGATCTCTAGGGCCCCTTGGTGGCATGAAGCTGGCATGGAAATGCCGGGCCACCACCTCCCCTTGCAGTGATGCAGCCAGTCCTGAGGATGTGTCTGGGGCTAAGAAGCGCCATAGTGATCCACTGTAGCTGTCGGGCTCTCACTACTCCTGAGCTGTGCGTAAAGCCCCTCAGCCACTGCCGAACTATCCCTTGATTCCTGCCATCATCTTGGCATACCTCATTATCGATCATATACGTGTATTCAATCATCCTGAATCCCCCATATTTTATAGCATCATCCCAAAAGTGCTGGCGAAGAACCCACCAGGGCTTTAATCTGCTGCCAGTGCAGGTGGGATTGATCCAGAGGTAATTTCTCAGCCACCAATCATCTCGAAACAGTAAATCAGATTCAGGAGATGGCTGCTTTCTGCATGCCACCAGAATGGACTTGGGGAAGGCTTGTTGGAATAATCAGTTGAGTTGGAAGTAAAAGATGACTATTGATATTATGTCTGAGTTGTTTTAGGGTTATTTTACCAGGTGGGTGGTCCCAGGGCACAGAACCTCAGATGATGATTGAATGTGAATAATTATGGGCCCGATCCAAACCAATTAAAGTCAATGGAAAGACTCCTATTGATTTCAATGTGCTTTGGATGCGGCCCTATATTTGGGATGAAAGGAGGGAAAGGTGAAAAAAGCAGTGTCATCCAGTGGATGGGAGACTAGATGGGGATGCAGGAGGCTCTGCCAGTAACTTATGTGACACTGGGCAAATCATGGCATCTGTTTCCTCTCCCACCTTTGGCTGTCTTGGCTACATAGACTATACATTCTTTGGGACAGGGATTGTCTCTTACTAAGGTATAGGTACAATGCCTAGCACAATGAGACTCCAGTTTCAATTGAAGTCTCCAGGTGCTACTGTAATGCAAATAATAATAATGTATTAACTGGGGCCACTATTATATTGCCATTGTCTTTCTCAGTTCTGTACAACAGAAAAAGTGGAGAGTCTTATAAACCTAGGGAAATACATAATTTAATTTTGAAAAAGCACAGAGAGATAACGTAGATGTGTGAACAGATCTCAACTTCTGTCTAAACAATCAAGCATCTGACTCGTTCTAGAATAAGCATGAGTCTCATTTGGGGTGAACAAGTGTTTTATGATATTTTCATGCAAGAATTTTGCATGTTTGAGGGAGGGAGGGGAAGTTGCCTGCCTACCCTAGCGCTCGCCTCTAAAAAAAGCCAGTGTCAAAATGAGCTCCTGGGGTAGCCCCACATTTTTCCCCTCCTTTCCACAGGGCAAGACCAGCCCATGGGATTATAATAGATCCTGGAACAGAACAGTGCACAATTTGGTCATCTTGTGACATTGCAGCCATGAAGTTGGGTTGTCGTGTACTTTGGGTGAGTGTGTTTGTATGTCCCGATATCTGTTTGTAAGAGAGCCACTGTGGTGCCCTCTAGTGGTCGGGCCTGTAGAAAGGATAATGGATTCGCTAAGGGAGATTGCCTAGCTGAAGCAAGAAGCCTGGGCTTTTGGAGCAGGGAGGCTAGAGTACCAGTCCCAGCAATTTACCTAGTGATTGTGTCTGTTGGCCACAGTGCACGGGCCCATTACAGCGTTCCACCAATGGTGTTGCACCAGTGTGCTCATGACATGGCATGAGTCTGTCATGTAGTGGGACAAACGGAAGCGGCCCCCCTTTGGCAGTGAAGCCGGATGAGCTGGGGCTGGCACAGATCCCTTCAGAGCCTGTCAGCAGACATCAGTCAGAGGGGGGCACCAGCGAGTGGCGTGAGGAACTTACTCCCCCGGCCACCCTGGCGCTGGGCAGTTTAGGACTGAGCTCAGGGCCTGAGGGTAGCAAGCCATTAGGCTGGCACCACTATTTCCGGTGCTATATTGTATCGTGTTCCCCATCTCTCTCTCTCTCTGGGCTGCAGACGGACTGTTAGCATTGAGGGATGCTTCTGTGTCCCCCCAACATTGGCCTAAAAGTCAAATGTACAAAACCTTTCTTTAAAAGACCAGGAATCTGGAGCGGGGACGGGACTGGTGTAAAGCTCCCCTCCCCACGCACCTACCATCACCATTATTGCAGAGGTGACACCTTGTTCCTGGACACGCTGCCAGGGGGTCCTGTGCTGGGGGGAATGTTGCGGGGCCAATGAGACATAAGGCTGAGTCAGAAATATGCCTCGGGGTCTTTCAGGCATTGCATAAAAGCAAGGAGGATGGTTATTCATCTGCATTACCATGAAGAGTGCCCTGCCCTGCTCCCTTGTGTGTCTTGTTCCTTCATGGGTTTGGTCTGTTCCAAAGCCCAGCTAGACATAAGGAACTCCAGAATGCTAGGGATGAAATCCTGGCTCTGCTGAGTCAAGGGAGCTTTGCCATTGGATTCAGTGAGGCCAGGGGTTCATCCTAAATTCCTGAAAGGGCTTGGGTCTGGAAGGAGGGAAGTCTTTCGAAACCGTGTTGTGGCACATGAGGGACAGGTTGCACTGGGTAAAATCAAGCATGCCATGGGCAGGCAAAGTGCGTGCTCCCCCCACCCCATTTTACCCACACACCCTCTTCTCTATTTTGTCTTTCATTCAATCCCTGGTTGCCAGTGTCCCTCAGTCCTGATTTGTGGAACACCCCTCCTCCCCCCCATCTCATCTCTCCCCATGCTTCCTGCTGGCTGCCCAGTGCCCCTCATTTCTGATGTGCCCCTCCTGTGCTACCCCGGCTCCCAGCCTCCTCCAAGAACAGACTGCTACTGTGCATCCAGCATTGCGTGTTGGTTCTGGGCTGGGCACAACTGTCCATGAGGACTTGGCTGAGACCATTCAATCTCGGGGCACTGATGACTCGAGTCCGATTCGGGGCCAGGCCTCCAGAGCTGAAGGGACACGTGTACAGACTCTGGCTACCCCGGGCTCTTCTAGTAAGCGAGGAAAGGCGGAAGCACCCCGAGTCGCAGCCAGCCCTGGTAAGTGACTAGCCCAGGAGAACGCCCCGCAGGGGTGGATGGCCCCAGGCGCCGGAGCGCAGCTGGGGTGCACAACCGCGGCCAGCTGTGGCAAGGAGCAGCGGGGAGGGCGCAGCTGAGCCACCTGCCCCCCGGAACAGCCCCCCGCCAGAGGACGGTGCTGAGTGGAAGTGGGTGGGCGCGCTCTCTGGGAAGCCGGGCTGGCCAAGGCGCCTGGTCACAGCCTCTCAGCGGCGCGATTTGCCCCCGAGCCTCGGAGAGCGCCCCGCGGCCAAGGGCTCGGTTCCCGTCTCTCCCCCCGGGGGCTGGGGCGCAGCTCGCCAAGGCGGCAGCCTCTGATGTCATGCGGGGAGTGTGAGGCGGCGGCGGCGGCGACGGGAGCCAGAGCGAGCCCAGGCGAGGGACGCGTGAGGAGCGCTGCGGAGAGCGGCTGCGGCTGGGCGTCCCCCGGCCCCCGAGCCAGCGGGCAGGCGCAGGAGGGCGGCGGGCACCTGGCGCTCGGGGAGGGGATGAGCTCGCCCAGGCGGCCGCGGGAGCGCTCCAGCCGGAGCGCCGGGAAGGAGCAGTAGGGCGCGTCTCCCCGCCCGGGGAGCGCAGAGCCGGACCGCGGCGCTGCGAGCTCGCCCCAGCCCCGGGGCCGCTCGGATCCGGGCGCGTCTGTCCCGCTGCCGCCCAGCGGGCACTGCCAGGGGCAGGGTTGCGGCGAGCTGCCCCTTCCAGCCGGGGCTCCGTGATCAAGGCGGAGACCGAGCCAGGAGCTACCGACACGCGGGGCGCACCTGCTCGTGGGGGCCGGTCCCCAGGGCCAGCGCGAGCAGGGGATCCTGGCAGGGCAGCCGGGCACCGCGGGTGAGTCTCTGGGCAGCAGGGAGTTGGCAGGCCGGGGATGGGGCTAGCTGGTGGGATTGCTTGGCTGGAGGGGGATATGTGAGTGTGTGTGTTTGTGTGCCGCACGCGGGAGAGGACTGGGAGATTTGGAGAGACGGAGGTTGCAAGCTCCTTGTAGTCCTCAGCAGCGGGAGCACGTCTCAATTTGCTCGCTGCTGTGCTGGGTTTGTGGAAGGGGGGGGCGGTAAACACACAGCCCAGGAGCAGAATTGGCTGCTTAGTCTCTGGTTCCTGTGACAGCACAACCAAAGGCAGCAGGCAAAGCAAGTCTTGCTAGGTCCATGGAGAGGGGTGGCTCTCCTTAAAGCCACACTGGTTTCCTTTCTTTCCTAGTCCTGCCATCCTCCTCCTTAACCATCTCCTGGCTGGATACAGCTGGGATTCTGGTAACGCTGCAGAGCATCAAAGGCCTGGCTTAATTATTTTAGCTTTCACCTGCATGAGCAACAATGACCTAGGATAGGTAGAGGCCTGTAGGAGGGGAATGGGACAGAGTTGTCACATGGGCATGTCCCATCAGACTAGCTGAGACCCCAAACAAATCCACAGCTTCAGGCTCGTGGCATGGGCTGAGGAATATAGTTGTTTGCTCTGTGACAGCTTGGCATTCACAGCATCCTGATCCAACAGCGCTGCATGGCCACCGGACAGCCTGTTGCAAGAGGCCCTGACTACAATGGTGTGGGATGCTCGCATCCAACCTTGCAACCACTCCATTGGAGCCTGGTATTTGAGGTTTGATGCATTTGCTAACCTCAGTCCCTGCTCACGAAAGCTCAGTGAAGCTGGTGAGATCTCTTGCAGCTGGGAAACAGGCCAACTGCCCTCCTCTCCCACACAGCTGGCCCCCACCCCCCTGCAAAAGCCACTCTTTCCCCTGCCCCACAAACCCATTTTTGGTTTGGGTCCAGTTTCAAGGTGACCTGGGCCAGCTGACAGAGCTGGGTTGCCATTTGGACCGGTACTGCCACAGGAACAGGTGAAACAGAGTGGTTTGGCTACAGTTTGGCTTTGAACCTCAATGGCTTTGAATTCTCAAAGGAACACATAGACTGAAAGCAAAGGCAACATCTGTGTTACGATGGTAGCCCCTACTGAGATCAGTGACCTGCTTGTGCCAGGCACTACACATATAGGGGAAGAGAGAGGCCCTGCCCCAGGGAGCTCACAGTGTGGGGCTATTATACAGCTGTGGATCTGAGGGGACTGTGTGATTTACTCAGGGTTATAAAGGCTGTCTGTGGTGGAGGTAGGAACTAAATCCAGAACTCCTGGCACCTTAAGCACCAGGTGATCCTTCCTCCTATGGAAACCCATCCAAAAGAAGTCATCCACATGTTTCTTGTTTTGACCAGCACAGCATCTCCTGTCTTTGCCCCATGAGACCAAATTGCAAAGGAAGCTTCCCAGTTACACTGTTGGGAAACTGTGCTCTTTCCTCCTTTTGCTCAAGAGTCCCAGAGTCTATATGCGAGTAGCGTACCAATGCAATGACACAATGGCTCTTCCTCTCTTATCAGCTGTGCTATGGGTGATAGATTACCCTCAGATGTCTGCTCAGGATAAATCCACTAGGACAAAGGTCTTGAAAGGTGCAAAATGACAAATAATTTTCAAGTACCGGAGACTGAGTTGAAAACAGTTAACTGTCTTCATAGGTGGTGTGCATGAAGGATTCATGCTAGATTACAGAAAATGCATGATTCAGAAAATTCCAAAATTCACCAGTAGACTTGTGTTGGACAAAAGGCCTGGTGGGAGTTGCCTATTTTGCATAGGTCATTTGCTTTGTTATGGAGGGAAGTAGGCACTGAAGATGCGTTATTCCATCCCCACTGACCTTGTCCCTGCTACCGAGTTGCATGTGTTGTCCCTGCTACCAAGTTGCACGTTAAAGAGCTAAAGGCTTCATTGGTGTAATTCCTAGGCTGAGGACTTTGGAATTTGATGGCTTACCTTTCAACAGGGATCTATGTGCAGGAACTCTGTTCTAGGTAGGGATTTAGGAGCAGAACCCTACACCCATGGCCTCTCTCTAAATGGCTTGGCATTTCCAGGTGCATAGCTTCCTAGACACTCCCTTTTGCTGGATCGTCTGGGTTGCTAAGGTATGGAACAGGATCCTGAGAGAGTCTGGGCAATGCTCTCATTAGAGAAGCTGCATTTTGCAAGACACACTGGTCAGATAGTTACATGCAGGAACAGGGTGTTCTGGAGACATCTTCCAGAGACTCTTTGGCAAGTGGGCCTTAGTTTGCGTTCAGTAGCTCTCTTTCCCTGCATTTCTCATGTAATGAGCTCCCTAGGTAGAAGCTGCATAAGTTTAGGCTCACACCCCAACTACTGAGAGACCTCTCCATTCCAGTAGCTGCAGATGAGGAACTCTGGGCCCATAAAGGGCCCTCCAGCTCAGCTAAAAATGTAGGATTGGAGCACGCACAACATCTGTCTCCTCTCCTCCGTGTCTCAGCTGCAGCACATTCATTGAACTCCAGGGTCTGATGCTGATCAGATATTGGAAGCATCCCCCAGTGAGCTACTCTCCAACTGTGGGATCCAAAGGGGGTTATCCAGTTACAGCAAAATTAGGTTTCTCTGCAGCCTGTGCCCATCATGAGTTTGTCTGGGGGCAACTTAATGAAAAGGAGAAAACTTTGTTTATTGCTCATCCAGATGTGCCCTACGTCGCTCTGTATTTCCATTCACAGGCCTTCCCTGGCAGCGAAGGGAATAGATGATTTAAAGAGACAGTATCTGATTCTATTCCTGCTGGCTTCTAGGAGCTGAGTGCAAACAAGTTGGGTCTGGTGTCACAATAGATAGAAACTGGGGCAGTGGGTGGCGGGGGGGGGGGGGAGGTTAGTTATAATCTCTGCTTTAGGATCTGGGAGGTAGAAGGGCCCTAAAGGTAACAGGCTGGCGCTTTTCTATTGCAATAAGTTTCTTTCCTGGCTGGTACCTGCCCAACAGGCCTTTGTGGGGGTCCCTCCCATGGGAAACCTGAATGGGTATATTTATTTAAAAATACATACATGAGGCTCCTATTCTAAGTGGGCCCGATGAGTTTGCACCGAAAAGGCAGGGTTCCTGTTGGGCTAGTAGATCAGAGCATGGAGATCCTGCACAAAGGATCCCCTACAAGCTGTGGAGAGGCTTCCTCAGTGGTGATGTTTACAGCGGTGCGTAGGGGATAGATGGCTGTACTGGCGGCATGGCTAATGGAAGTGCACAGAGAATAGATCCACGAGGACTATACCCCACGTTGGGTGGAAGCAGTGAGCTGCCTCCATTTGTGTCTTCCCCCCCCCCCCCCGCCCCCTGTCCTGCTGTGTGGTCCAGCTACAGGAGTTAAACAGCCCTGAAAACACATGTTGTGAGCGAGGATTGTTTCCTTCATCCACACTATCTCCGGGCATGTTTCTCTCAGAGCACAGGCCCAGGGTCAGAGGAATGACCAGATTCATCTCACAGACCCTCAGAACTTGATGAGGTTCTCCCATCACCAAGTCACTAAAACAGCGCCGTCACTTTTTGGAATGTGTGAACACCTGTCTCTCTGTGGAAATGTGGTGGAGAATTTCTATAGGTTTATGGTCTGCTCCAGTGCCTGTTGATGACAATGGAAAGATTCCCTGGACTCCAATGGGCATTGAGCCAAACACTTTGCTTGGAGTGGCCTCCAGAAAGTTTGGGTTATCATCTAAAACTTGTATAAACTTTTCTGAAGCTCCTCCTACCAAAAGCTTCTCACAGGCCCCATTCCCCCCTCTTTGCTTTTGGCCCCAGATACTCTCTTACATAAGAACATAAAAACGGCCATACTGGGTCAGACCAAAGATCCATCTAGCCCAGCATCCTGTCTTCTGACAGTGGCTAATGCCAGGTGTTTCAGAAGGAATGAACAGAACAGGTGATCACCAAGTGATCCATCCCCTGTCGCCCATTCCCAGCTTCTGGCAAACAGAGGCTAGGGACACCATCCCTGCCCATCCTGGCTAATAGCCATTGATGAACCTATCCTCCATGCATGTATCTAGTTCTTTTTTGAACCCTGTTATAGTCTTGGCCTTCACAACAAAGCATTCCATAGGTTGACTGTGCGTTGTGTGAAGAAATACTTCCTTTTGTTTGTTTTAAACCTGCTGCCTGTTAATTTCATTGGGTGACCCCTAGTTCTTGTGTTGTTAGAAGTAAATAACACTTCCTTATTTACTTACTCCACACTGGTCACGATTTTATAGACCTCAGTCATATCCCCCCTTAGTTGTCTCTTTTCCAAGCTGAAAAGCCCCAGTCTTATTAATCTCTCCTTATATGGAAGCTGATCCATACCCCTAATAATTTTTGTTGCCCTTCTCTGAACCTTTTCCAATTCCAATATACATTTTTTGAGATCGGGAGACCCACATCTGCATGCAGTATTCAAGATGTGGGCGTACCATGGATTTACATAGAGGCAATATGATATTTTCTGTCTACTTATCTATCCCTTTCCTAATGATTCCCAACATTCTTGAGTGGTAACAGCTAATTTAGACCCCATTATTTTGCAGTTCAGAACAAGCTTTCTATACAGATGGAGTAAAACTGAAATTGAATTGATATGACATTCTCTTAATCTGATCTAATAAAATATTAAATAGAGCTCTCTGTTTTAATAGGACCATCCCATGAACATGGTATCTGTGCACATCCCAAAATTATAACATACACGTAAAGGTCTATTTCTCTCTCCAGGCTCTGTGGACTGGCTTTTGTCTGTTCACAGGCCAGTCGCTGAAGAAGCTACGCTTCTGGCACAAGTGACCTTTGCGCTTGAGGCTGAGAGTGCTGTGGTTCCGGTGGAAGGCAACTGCCCTGGGAAGACTTGACCCTCTAGTCTGTGGGACCCCTCAGGTGGTCTGAGCTATTCCCATTAGCATTTAGCGATCCATTGCTGTTGATGGAAAGAGGCTGATTTG